GACAGAAAGAGAGCGACAGAAAGAGAGCGACAGAAAGAGAGCGACAGAAAGAGAGGGGGAGAGAAAAGTAAGTCACGCATGAACGCCCAGACACAGGGGGGGAAAAAAAAAAACAAAGAAAGCCCAGGAGACGCGGAAGCCCGGCGAGGGGGGCCGTACACTCTCAATCAGCCGGATGGCATGCGTGTCCATGTGGCTCGGGAAGTACACCTTGCCCGTGAGGATGGACTCGAAGATCTCCTCCTCGGCCTCGCCGCGGAAGGGCGACTGGGCCAGGATCATCTCGTACATCAGCACACCGAAGGCCCACCAGTCGACCGCCCGGCCGTAGTCCTTCTCCAGGAGGATCTCCGGGGCCATGAACTCCGGCGTGCCGCAGAAGGTGTTGGTGGTGCTCTCGAAGAACATGTTCTCCTTGCACAGGCCATAATCCGCCACCATGACATGACCCTCCAAATCCAACAGGAGATTGTCCAGCTTCAGGTCGCGATAGATGATGTTGTTGTGGTGCAGGTACTCCAGCGCCAGGAGAACCTGCGCGCCATAGAGCCGGGCCCGGGTCGGGTCGAACACCTGCCGCTGGATGTGCATCATCAAATCACCGCCACTGATGTACTCCATGACAAAGAAGAGGCGGTCCTCATTCTGGAAGCAGCTGTGCATCTTCACCAGGAACGGATGGTTCAGCCGGTTGGCGGTCTGGAAGACGCGCTTTTCCGCCTGCACGGACTCCAGCTCGTCATTCTCCAGGACAAACTCCTTCTTCAGCACCTTGATGGCGTAGAAGCGCCCGGAAACCTTCTCCTCGGCCAGCATCACCTTGCCGAAGTTGCCCTTGCCCAAAACCCGCACCAGGTTGAAGTCATTGATGGAGGTCATGCGCGAGGCGGGAGGGGCCGCCGCGGCCGCCGGGCCGGCCGTCGGCGAGGAGGCCGCCGCCGGCACCACGGCCTGCAGCTGCGACGGCGGCGGCGAGAGAGCCATCGGCGAGGAGGCCGCCGAGCCGGGCCCGGCACCGCCGCCGCCGCCGCCGGCCCGAGGCGCCGCGATGGTCGGCGACACACGGCCAGCCATCTCGGCGGCCGCCGCCTCCGACGTGGCAGACGGCCCCCCGGCCGGGGGCTTGGCCGTGGCCGCGGCCGGCACACCGGTGTCCACATGTAGCCGAGGGGTCGAAGCGGCCGGGTCGTGAATGGCGGCCGCGGTGCCGCCGGACGACGCCGGCCCCGGCTTGGCCGCCTGCTGCTGGTGGTAGGGCATCGGGGTCACCGACGGGGAAGAGGGAGCCGTGAGGCTGCTGAAGCCGGAGGCCGCGCTCGGGCCGCCCATGGCGGTGCCCTGGCCCAGGGCCCCGGGGCCGGCGGTGCTGCCGCGCTCCTTCCGCCGGACGGTGGTCATCTCCTTCTGGAGCTGGGCCGAAATCTCCACCGTGGACTTGAGACCGAACACGCGGATCATTTCCATCGGCTTGCGGGTGAGCTTGACGGCGCCGCGCCGGCGGAAGTTCCCCTGCTGGCGGCTGTCCACGAAGTTCATGCTGATGTCCAGCTCGCCGCGCGGCTCGATCGCCAGCGAATGGACCTCATCCTGCCCGGAGGTCAGGGCAAAGCGCGAGGTGCCCAGCAGCTTGGCGATGTCCAGGAAGTGCACCCCCACCAGGGTGGTCCGGTCGTACACCAGGAGCTGGATATCGCGGGTGCCCTGGAGCTGGAGGTCGATCTCCTCGTTCCAAGTCCACACGGACCCCTTGGCCGGCTTGAAGGCGGTCTTGGCCCGGTTGTCGTGGTCGCAGCGCACCACGATCCGGGTTTCCGGGCGCCGGTGCGGCTGGGCCAGGTCGCGCGCGGACATGAATTTGATCCGGAACCGCCCGGTCAGGTGGCCGCGCTGCTTGGCCTTGGTGGCTGCATTGTCCGACTGGGGGACTGGCATCGACGCGGGCCCGTGGCGAGGCAGGAGGAGCAGGGGAAGCAGGGGGATCGACGGAGGTGGGCATGGAAAGCCGCGGAGGGGTGAGAATGGGGCTGCTCGGGGCGCGACCGATGTACCGGGCACATGCCGGGCGCGAGAGAAGGAGAGACAGAAAGAGACACGGCCAGGGTGCCGCACAGGGAAAGGGGGCGGGGGGGGGCGGGGGGGGCGGGGGGGGACATACGCGTGGCCAGCAGGTCATCGAGGGCCTTCTCATCGTCGGGGGCGATCTTCAGGGCGTTGCAATAGCGATGGACGGCCATGCGCAGGAGCGAGATCTTGGCCGTGTAATCGATCAGCAAATTGAACACCTGGCTCATCATGGGATCGGCCCCGGCGTCATACGCCGGGAAGGAGGCACTGGAGGGGGAGGATGAGTGCCCGGAGCCGGTGCCATTGCCGGCATTCAGGTGGCCGTTGGAGCCGCTGGCTAGCAGGTTGCTTGTGCTGCCGGGCGACCCGCCGGAGGTGAGTGGCAGCGAGGAGGACGGCGAGGAGGACACCCGCGACAGGGAGGTCGACGAGGGGGAGGACGAGTGATGCGAGTGCGAGCTGCTGCCAGGGGCGAGGTGGGCCGAGGAGGAGGACCCCAGGAGGGAAGGCGACGACCCGCGCCCCTGGGAGCCATACGCCAGGGCCATCCCCTCGGCGCCGCTCTTCAGGCGCTGTTCAATGGTGATCTTCTCCCGGAGGAAGCGGATGCGCTCGAGGATCTCATCACGAGTAAGGCCGATGGCGGTGGCCGGGTCGGTGAGGTCATGGGTTTCGGGTGAGAGGGAGGGGGGTGGGGGAGCGGCGGGGCGGCGAGGAAGGCAAAAGAAGCAGGGGCCTGGAGGCGCACCGGTGGTGGGGATGTCCGACCCATGGCGGGTGATGCAATCGCCGCTGAGCGTGGCAATCCGCTGGCGAATTTGATCGATCGTGCGGTTGCTCTTATCGAGCTGCTTCTGGACGGTGGTCTGGCGGCGGCGGCGGCGGCGGCAACAACAAGGAGCATCCGGGAAGCGGGTGAGTGGGTGGACAGGAGGGTGGATGGGGTGGAAAAGGGTATGCGCGCATTTGTGTGTGTGTGTGTGTGCCGCATGTAGCACGCAAACCGGGGATCCCCCGGCGCCGCGCGGCGTAGAGGGTGTACCTTCTCCGCGCGGCGAAGGCCGGTTTGAAGGAGGTTCTGTGCGCCATTCTTGATGCGAAGCTCAATCACAAGCATGTTTTGGAGCTGCTCCAGATCGGACTCGGTAATCTCATTGTCCTGGACGGGCCGAGCCGGGACGGCGCGCGGCGCCGGGGCGAGGATAGAGAGAGGGGCGCCGTCAGTCAAGGGAGCCGGAGGGCAGCAACACCGGAGGGGGGGG